GGGCGGAGCGCCCTCAGGGCGGCGGGAGCGGCCCCGGGCCGCCCGGGCACCGAGTATCGCCCATACAGCGCAGGGTGGTGGGGCTGGAAAACACCCCCGATGTCAGCGGGTCCGGCCAGTGACCCAACAGCAGCGTGGTACCATGTGCCACGTACGGGCTTTCTTTAAACACCTCCAGGGACCGCCATAGGCAGTCCCTTCCAATGGCAGAACCACAGAACTGCTAAGAGTTGAAAGGCACCTATGGAAAGCATTTGGTCCATCCCCCGTGCCCAGGCAGGGTCACCTGCAGCAGTGACACAGGAGTTTATCCAGGTGGGTTCAGAATGAGCAGTGACACAGGAATTTATCCAGGTGGGTTCAGAATGAGCAGTGACACAGGAATTTATCCGGGTGGGTTCAGAATGAACAGTGACACAGGAGTTTATCCAGGTGGGTTCAGAATGAACAGTGACACAGGAATTTATCCAGGTGGGTTCAGAATGAACAGTGACACAGGAATTTATCCGGGTGGGTTCAGAATGAGCAGTGACACAGGAATTTATCCAGGTGGGTTCAGAATGAACAGTGACACAGGAATTTATCCAGGTGGGTTCAGAATGTCTCTGCTGTGGGAGACTCCACGCCCTCCCCGGGCAGCTGTTGAAGTGCTCTGCCACCTTCGATATAGAGAAATTCTTCTTTATGCTGAGGTGAAACTTCTTGTTCTTTAGTCTATGGCCAGTGCTCCCCATCCTGTCGCTGGGCACCACTGAAATGAGTCTGGAGCCATTCTCTTGGGACCAGTCTTTGAGATATTTATATGCATTAATGAGATTCCTTCTCAGTCTTCTCCAGACCAAACAGGCCTAGCTCCTGCAGTGCCTACTTGAAAGAGAGATGCCACAGACACATCCCCCCAATCATCTTTGTCCCAAAGAGGGCAAGAGACAGTGCCCTGTTGGGATGAGGTGTTCAGGTGGACAAAATATAGTCTGTACTCTTCTGTCCCTTTCCACCTCCCACAACCCTTCAGGCTTTGAAGGACAGAGTGCTGAGCACGCCAGGTCTGGTCCACTCCTTGCCCTGTGGTGTACTGCAGCCACATACTACTTTTTGTTTGTTTTTGAAGTATCTTAGTGTTTTAATAGTTCTCATATTGGGTATTTCAGGTATTTTCAGGCTTTGCTCGCTGCTCCTGCCTTGGCAATGAGAAAGTGTGAGCTTCATGGCATAATCAGATGTCAAGCCATGAACAAATTTGGTAATCAAAATGAGTAATTGTCTTTGTCAGGACTCAGCAGGCACTAATAGATCTTAGTGGCTCTAAGAAGTATCATCAGGGGTCTCCACCCCACAGTCCTTGTCCCAGAGAACTTCAGACCCAGTTAAGCTCAGCTCTGACCCTTCTGATTTTTGTGTGAGCTATGCTGTAGATCTGTGCTGTCCTAGCCTTGCTGGCTGGTTTCATATTAGACTTGCCTTATCCCTCTGGTAGCCTCCACACTAGTCCTCGTCCTGGTCTGACATCCTGACTTCACCTTGGAGCTGTGTAGCTGCAGGTGGCCCTGTGCCCCTTAAGGAACTCTCCAAGTATTCTCACAGTGTTCTTCCTTAGTTCTTCAAGCATGTTCTCCTCATCTGGTTTCAGCTATCTCTAATTAATAGCCTCTTTGCCTTTTTTCACTGGAAGGATAGACTAGAGTCAGTGCCAAAGCAAAGGAAGGACTAGGTACATGCCCTTCAGGATGAGATAGGAGAGAGCAAAACCATCCCTTTCAGTAGCAGCAGCTACTGGGAAGTTCAAGTCACCATCTGGCTTCCGTGGGCTGCCAGATCTTCCTGAGGAACATAAGCAAGGAATGGAGATATTGAGAATATTAACATTTTTATTTTAATGTCAAAGCAAATTATGACTAGAACATTATGAGGCATTTTACAGATAATGAAAGGGATTTCTGCAGGATATTGTGTAGCTTGTGAGCTGTGCTGAGCTAGAATATTAAAGATGAATATCTCTGAAAGCTTTTCAGAGAAAGTGCAAATATCCCTTTCCTTTGTATGTGCTGCTGTGTATGCATAGGTAAATATTTATCTAAAAGAAATACCTTTAGGATATAAACTACCATGTGGACTTTTCACTCTCCTCTCAATTTTATTACCTGGTAGTCAGGGTTATACATGCAGCAGGTTTCAACTGCTGCATCTGGCAGATGGAATCACAGAATGAGAGAGCAGCTTTGGGCTCCAGCTGCTGGAGTTAAAATATCCTCCCAGAGGAGCACAAAACAAGGTCCAAAAACCTGAGGTATGTGGAAAGGATGGAGCTGGCAGGTCCTGTCCAGGCCATACAGCTCACAGAGCCAGCACAGAGGGGATCAGGACCAGAGTTAATTTACCCAGCTGCAGTGAGAATTAAACAGAACAATAGTTTAGTGTTCCATAGCTGACCAGCCTTTATTACTTAATATTTCAATATAATGCTCCTGATTAGTCTTGCTAAACCTTAATAGCAAAGCCAAAGGACAGAGAGTAGAATGGCTGTAATAATGTGCTGGAGACTTTCTGCTAGCAGAAACATCATTTCACTATAAAACTTTCAATCACACCCAAAAGCACTTAACGTAATGCACTGTACAGAAAATATCCCATCGCTGAATTTATCTTTTCCTCCCTGTGAGTACAAATGTTTTCTGGGAAATGGTGAGGCACTGAGCAGAACAGAAATGTTGAGCAGAACAAAAATGTACTGCAGGTCATATGGAAAGTGAAACAACTCTGTTAAGCAACTCCATTGCAATCTCTTGCTATCAGTGTGTGTTCTTCCTGAGTCTGCATGAAGAATGACACTGAAAAAGAGCAGTGCTGGTGCATTTTAGTTTACTGAATTACAGTGGAATTTACATTTGGGGACCAAAAAGCATAGGATTTCTCTCAGTATCAAGGTGCCAAGTCAATCACAGTTTTGCAAGGGAAGGGATTGAAAGACCGAACTCCCTGGCCATGAGATCTCATGTTTCATTTTATTAGCCTTGCCAGATGCAGTTTTCAGGTGCCTGTGGACTCAGGCACCAGTCCAATAAAATAAAGGGGCAAGATTTCTCTTTAAGCAATATCTCACATTGTTGGACCATAAACAAAAGTTTAATATATTAACTCATCCAAATTCAAATAGGTCAATCTAAATTTCAATACTGGTTTCTGTATAGACCTTTTGTAGTTTTATGCATTGGCATCTAAATTATCTTGGTGGATATTTTTAGCATAGAAGTCTTGTGCTTAAATTACAAAATTGAGCTTATAAAGCTGAAATTCATCTAGATCCAGCAGGATTGCTGTGCTGATTGGTGTATTTCTTTCATGGAAAGGTTTTCCAACCTTATTTCTTTGGTACAGGAGCAGTAGAAAAGCCTACAGTCTGTTTTCATGGTGTAATTTTCTGTCATTTCTGTAATTTTCATCCTTATTTGGCCAGAAGTCAGTTCCTGAGTTATGAAAAACTTTTCATTGTTTCAGGGTGTACCAGAAACAAAGTTTTTAATGTGTGGAGGCAATGTCTTAGTATATTCTCAACCTTACCAATGGAATTAAATGGAATAAAGCCTGAATTGCCTTTATCTGGTACCATCTCTGGAAGTGTTCAGAAAGCATGTGGATGTGGCACTTGAGGACATGGTTTAGCTGTGAGCAGGTGGTGCTGGGCTGGTCTTGGAGATCTTTTCCAACCTATGATTCTGAGGAATCCTATACAACACACATAATCCACCAACAGCATCCTTCCATGGTGCATCAAGTCCAGCTTTTGTAAACACAGTTGGATTGCAGGTGATCTTTTCCTAAATATCCATGATAACAGAAGTAATTACCATTGCAGAGCATCCTCCTTCTGTTGCCATCTGCCTCCAGGCAGTTTACAATGTAAACACAGAGCAAGGGTATGCAGATGAATACAAATGAATAAGGAATGAGAGGATTAAAGTCAGAAGGAAAGTATTTCTATTAATCAACAGGTGAAGAGAGGTGCAGTCTAACAGATGGAAGGAATTTGCAGACAGCTTTCTGCAAGTGTTATACAAATAAGTCATGGGGCTCAAGAGTTTTCCAAGATGCAGGTATGATTTACCAGCTTCAACAGTGCTAAGTATTAAAATTTCACACAAGTACCTCAGCCTGAAGTGTGTACCTAGACAAAAGCATTACAAATCCCTTGCTTAAGCTGTGTGGGAAGCTTTTCAGCATCCTGCCCACTCTGGATTGTTTTCACACAGTTAATGGCCTGCCCTTGAGCATACAGAAAGAACAAGGCTGTGAATCCATATATAGATCCAGGCCTGGGAAGCCCAGTAAAGTGAAGATGAAAAAAAAATTAAAAAACAAAACCAAAAGGAAGTTCCAGGGGTGAAAGGGTTTTGGAAATGCTCAGGAGGGATGAAAATCCGATGCCTGGATCAGCATGTTGCCATTCAGATTGGCATAAACTGAATTTAAAAGGCACCTTAATATAGTACATCACACTGAACAACCCTTAAGCCCAGCTAAACACGACAATAAAAGCTAGAGAAACAGCCAAGAAAAATCATGTCTAGGTTATCCATTAGATGATATTCCTTTATTGTAAGTATTTATTATAAAGTACACTGCTTTATCACTTAACCATCATGTTCTGAATATTTTAATATAAATAAGTTTTCCAATAGTTGAGAGAATACTAGAGAGAGCTAAAAAAAACCCAAAACATTTTATCTACCCAGATAAAGGATGTGTGTATATTTCCTCCAAGAAGGGCCACGAGCAAGATTACAGTGTAATTGGTTGGTTTTGGCATAGCTATAGCAACAGCCATATGGGAAGCATGTAATTTCATGGATCTGCACATGGTGAAGTCATGGCAAATTACCAGGAACTCATTTGATGTGGCTGCTCTCCAAGAGTTCAGAGTAGATCAACTAAAACCATTAACTTTCAAAATATAATTAGTCCAACCATATTTTTTTCCTAGATGAAGGATGGGAAAAAGCCCAGCTATAATTCTTGGTGCACTGAAACAAGATGTGTAAAGAGAGAAACTTATAACCTGGGGCTTGTTTATATCCTTGGACTATCATGATGACAACAGCACTGTTGCCTGTTGTATTTGGTAGGTATAACAGCAAATCATGTATCAAAAGACAAACCTAGAAATAGAATTTGACTGAAAATATGATGCCTCAAGAACCTGATATTCTGGGCTGAGGCAAAATCTGCAAAAGTCGAGGGAAACTGTGTTCCAATTTACAGCTTGCTTTTCCATTCAAAATTGGTTATCTGTATGCTGTTATTTTGTTCTTTCTCATAACATCTTAATCCTTTATAAAGCTATCCTAAGTGAACTAGCAGAAGAATGGCAGCAGAATGCCTTCAACTGCAAATCAGGACATAAACCTCTGCCCTTGAGTTGTATCTGTACTGCGCAGGCTCCACACAGTCACACCTGGGAGCCAAGGAATAGCCGTGCATTGTTTGCCCATGATCAGAAAATCTGGGCTTTCTTGTGTAATAAAAACATTATTAAGTGTTCTCAGATGCACCTATTTACTTGCTTGGCTGGAACAAAGGTGTATTGCTGCCTTTTTCACATGACTTACACACTTCAGTTGAACTGCAAACCCAAATCAATCACAGCTGTAAGTGCCTGACCTGCATCAACTTCCATGCTCACTGTGTCATGAACATTAATTTGAGTAAAACCCAGGATAAATCTCAAATTTATGTAAAGTCACAGTTTTTAATTTAGTGGTTCTTTTTTTTTTTTTTTTTCCAAAGATGTCAGCCTTTGAAATGTCAGGTGTGCTAAATGAAACCAGTGTCTCCAATTTGCAGTTTAGCAGCTGTTTAACTGCTATGTGAGCTTTCCAGCAGTCCACAGAAGCCCACAAGGGTAAATGTGAGCCTTTAAACAGTGGCAAGTATCAGAGCAAAAAAAGCTGAACTGGAAAAGAGGATCAAGGTGAACCTAGTGGGTTATTTCACAAAAGAAGTAGCATGAAGAGTCATAGAGAGTACAATGGCACCATGGGTTTTTTTGCTACCCAACCATTTGAAACTGCAAGTAATTGAATGTGTGACGGGTAAATAAATGGGTTTCTGTTCTGAGACATTTTTCTGGCTTTCACCATTGCTTATCAACTTCTGAGAGGGTTTGGCTGCTAATATTTGACCTCTCATTCTAAATAGCTTTTCATAAGAGGATTGTTTAGAAACACTCATATTGTAGGTGTTTGGATTTTTCCTTGGTGTGTGACTTTTGATAAAAAGTATATTCTCTTCAGTTGACCCAAACTGCTGACTCCTTGGATTAGCTTTCAGAAGATAATAGATGTTTTATGGTTATTATATCACATCTATGGTCATTGTGCCACATTACTCTTATTGTATTTACTTCAAGATAATGCAAGGAGGAGAGGAGGAGAAGAATTTGGAACTCACATGGAATTGTCTGTCCTTCTCTGGACAGGGTGCTGCATGAATATACAGTATCAGTCAACTGGACATTATAACAGGCACAGTTTTATCAGAGAAGCATGGATGAGCACTGCCTCTAGGCAAACGGGGACATAACTAAAAATACCCCTTCTGATGGGTTAAATTATTTGTCTGCCTTCTTTCTAGCAGGATAGGGAACGTTCCCTCCACCAGAGCTGGGGGAAGGCAATGAACAGCTCGTGCAGCATCTTTTTCAATTATCACAGCTATCTGCAGTCCAAGTTTCTTATTAAGATGTATGATTTATTTAGAAACAATACACAATACTACTCTAAGTTAGTCAGCAGTGGAACACTTTAAAAATACTATGTTCTTTGGTAAGTATATAACTCAATCTATTTCTAGTGACAATGCTGCTTGCATACAAAATGGAAACAATTTCAAAGCTCTATTTCTGAATGCAGGGTGCGTCCATACGGGGTTTATTCTATCTGCTTGGTAATACAGAAAGAAACTGTTAACTCATTTCTGTAAAGCTGGGGTTCCTTGCTTGTCCTGCTCAAAGACTGTACGAAATTTTCCTGAAATAATACCTTAATGAATCACCAAAAAGTATGAAAGCTGATTTGCAGCTCTACAGTGCTGTGTCTGACACTGTAAGGATCATGTGGATGTCTTTGAAGAAGACCACAGCAAATTTTTAATGATGTGGTCTTCACATGTCCAGTATTAAAAATATGTCAAAACTAACACATTGTATCCAAGTGTTTCTCTCACTCTGCTGCTTTAAAAAACAGTATTAAAAGCAAGCACTCTGGTAAATTATGATAATGAATATGTAAATAGGACAAAATCTTCTAGACAAATAGATTACATTAATTATGTTAGTCGTTACTGTGGGAATAGGGGCATTAAAATCTTTATTTGGAGCACTACATGCCTGTTCAATTTGGTGTGCCATCCTAACAAGACTTGATCTTTATGAACAATGCACTTTGAAACCTTTTGATCTAAAAAAAATGCACCAGCAAAGCCCCAAACCAGTAGCTTTGTTCATGCAATTCCTCACCTGATAAAATTTCATTTTTGGTGCAGTTTTAAGAGCATCTGCATTGAGAAGACCAGTGGTGTTAAAATTAGAAGATGTGAAAAACAAAACTTTACCTCCTGTGTTTCCCTGCAGAACAGCTTCCAGTTTAATCCATTTGTGTGCTCTCTCTATAGAACCCACACATACACAGGAGGTCTCCCTTGCTGATGGGGTAAGAACCAACATGGGACATTCATTCCTTTGCTTTAGGCCCTTCTGAGGAGAATCCCTGCCTTCTCTGGAGCATTATGCATTCCCAGCAAGGGATCAGTTCCCTATTGCCATATTGGGCAATGCTTCCATTCCCTTTGAATACCACCTTATGTTGCAATGTGCCTCCGTGAATCATTGTGATTATTCACCCAGGAATGTGCAAAAGCACAAAGTAAAAATCTGTTCTGTGTTCTGAACATGCGGGGTCAGATTTTCAGCAGTTGCATCTGATTAGACTTGTGCTGAGAGAGCTGCTTGACTTGACCTTTAGAAGAGTTGCTTTAATGGGGATATTTGAGGTAAATAAAATTTACTTTTGGCTCTCTGTTAAGGTCTTTTCTGTGTTTTTGGATCACATCTCCAGCAGGACAGGTATTCATGCTCACACATGCATTTCTGCCAGCCCTGATGTTTAAATAGCTCTCTTATCAACATGCATGAAGGCTACATGTGCAGTCCACTCCAACATATGATTTCTCTCAATAGCACGGTAATTCTGTAATTCAGAACACTTCCAAAAGGTTTACTTTCCATTTACTTTTTGGTTTTCTTTAATAGGCTTTCAAATGGTTTTTAAAATTGTCTTTTTTAAAACAATGATCACAACTCATCTACTGAAAATAATTGAGTAATATCAATTTAGTAATTTTCAGTCTGAGAAATCCCATTGCAATTAAGCTTCCTGTTTTCTTTTGTATTATAAATCAGCAGAGTAAAGAGACTGAAGTAAGTGATGACAAGTTCCCCAAATGAGTTGTTTTACTTATCTGTAATTTTGTTACTAGCTAATATTTGCAAGTAATGTTCAAGAGGAAGCAGAAAAAGCTCTCAGTTCCAATTAATTTTCTACAGCCATTTAAAGTAATGGTTGATAAAAAATTGCATCACAAAAATATTTGTGTTTTTTACTTCTATTAAATCTGCAGAGTAACATTTTTCCTGTAAGTACCAGTAGTTCTCATAGGGGTCAGCATAGATTTTATTCAAAATAAAACATTTTTAAGCACTAAGATTTCTTAGAGCCTTGTCATCAAGTAAAACATTTAAGAAAACAGCCATGTAACAGCTCAACAAGGGTCAAGACCACAAAATATATGTAAATACACAAAAAAGGGACAGAAAACAGAATGAAAATTTTAACTTTAACAGTCTAACTATATTTCATGTATTCATATGTATGTTTTCATTTCAGTCTCTCAAGAATTGGACTGGAAGGAGAAGAAGGCAGTGAGGATAACTGAGGAATAAAATCATTCCCTCAGTCACAGGAGGCTTCTTGCAAAGCTGGATTTAGGATGTGAGAACACGTCAAGGACAGTTGAGGACAAGCATAAGACAGTTAAAACTCATATAATGCAAAGAAGATGAAGTGGAACAAGGATTGCAAATTGTGTGACAAGATTGTTATCCAGTGGCCTAAACCCAAGCAAAACAAAACATTTCCTGTTCTGTCACAAGACTCTGCTTCAATAAATCCATAACAGCTCTTCCATTACTATGTTCACAGAAAGAATTAGCCAAATTCATGGGTCCATCCACTGGTAAAGGCACTGGCTGAACTGCATCCTTCCAGATAAGGATGCTGGTACCTATTTATTTCTAAAAACTATAAGGATGTGCCATGGAAACAACTCCCTTGTTTCCAGCACCATTTTTCCCAGGCATCCATTATGAGACACTGGGGAGACATCAGGATTCTGAGCTAGACAGACTTTTGATCTAAGCCAGCAGGACAGGGGAGCACCCCACTGTCATGCATCCTACACTGAGTCTAGTCCTGAACCCTCAGACTATATCCTTTTCCTAAGGAGAACAGAAGTTGATCAAAACTGACTTTGTCAGTTTGAATTTTTAGTACAGTTTCTTCTGCTGCTTTGCCTTGTTCATCAACATGAACATCTTGTTCATCAATGATCTGTTCCAAATCCTTTTGAAGGAAGAATTTCTCGAAAATAATTAGATTCAATTCCTTTGTAGAGATCTATTATGAGACCAACAGAGTATTAAATTTCATCCTTGGGATCTGGTCTATTTCTTCCAAATCAGCTTTTATATTCTTGTAAGTAGAACATATAGGAGCAGAAACTAAATTAAAATTTTCTTGATAAGTGCAATATAGAAGGTTTGCATGTTTTGTAGATGTTTTATCTTATGAAAATATTACAGTGATGCTGGGAAATAGAAATAATTTTGCTTTGCCTACGAAAATGCTATGCATATAACTAGAATATTCACAGCAAGAAAAATAAATATGCAGTATGTGTATACTTTCAAGATACATGTTGTTTTATTACATGTATTTACTAAAATCTAATTCCTGAAAAAGGCGCGGTAAAAACAGAAATTAAGTCATTCTCATAATAGTTTATTTCAGGGAAGACGCAAAATCATCATGTGAACTTTTAAAATAAGGAAGCAAATTACTTAATCAAGAGCTAAAAATACAGAAATCCTGTGGTGTTTTTAAGTGTAATAACTACAAACTTCTGGGCCTCTGACAATGTTGGCCTGTTTATCTCAAAGTGCCCCAGGGACCACAGTGTAAGTGCCTCATCCTGTGATGAAGAAATCTTGGCACTCTACCTGAAGGACAACAGTGACCTCCTGTTTGTCTGCCCTGGTCAAAATGCTTAAAATCAGAACCTTAACAAGGTGGATTTAACTGTGTTTTCACGTTGAGGTGCAAACTGCTGCATTGCCTCCTAAAGAAGGAAGCTCATATACATGAGAGGGCACATGGAACTACACACAGAAAGCTGCTCTTAATTCAGGTGGGATTTCATGTGCTTTCCACTGTCAAAGGAGACTATAAAAAGAGAAAATCTGCATATCACAGGTATTTTTTCATCACTACTGCCGATCACTGTGGAAAAGCATTTTCCAGGGGCAGCAAACCAAGCTGAGCTTTTTTGTCTATGCATGATCAGGTAAGACAGAAAAGCCTGGGAATTTCAACCTTCCCTGCTCCCTTATTTATTGTGCCTGTTCAAATGCAGCAGGGTTGGTTGTTTTTTTTTAATATAATGCACTCACCCCATTTTAATATAAATTATGCATAATATTTTTCAATATATTATTTAATAAAGGCACTATTAGCTATAGGAAAGTACTACATGCAGTTTCTCTCTCACAGTACTGTAGTCATGACTCTTTGGTTTTCTCTTCAGGTTTTGCTGCTGATGAACTGACTGACCTTGGATAAGCCATGTAAGTTTACTGAGTCTCTGTATAAATACTAAACAAACATTTGCTAGACCCAAGAAAATTAGATGTTGTGAGATGCACATACATTTTTGCAGTTACATTTTATATATTTTTCAGCTCCTCTGAATTCCACAGAATGCACCATTACAAGAAGACTTCTATTTTCCTGAAGCATTGCCTTAAGAAATTCAATTTACTTAAAATCTCTTTACAAAGTTGTAAAGTCACAATTTCATGTAAAAGCACCATCTTACACATTTTGGTTGAAAGACTAATAGTGATAGTGAGGCCAGAAGAACAACAAATCAATACTGTATTTATAATGTATACTCAGAGTACATCTAAATAGGACACTTTGAACCAAAAGCATAATTCACTGCATGTCCTTGTGCCATTTATGCTATAAATGCTGTGGGGTAGGGGTTGTATCTTACCACTTCTAACAACCAGTTTTATGGGGCATCAAACTTGCTGGATGTCTCTTAGTGCCTACTATATGCAAAAAGTACAGCAGGATTAAGAAATTCAGGCTCACAAAAAAAGCCCAAAGCAGTTCCACACTAAAAGTTCTTCAAGTTTTTTTTGGTTTTTTTTTGTTTTTTAAGAAGTAACTTTTTTTTTTTATCTACAGGAAATAAGCCCAACAGCAACACTCACCCGCATATATGATGATATCACATTTTTATATGAGAGGGAATGGACTTTTTCAATCACTAACCTATAGGAAGGGTGAAGTATCATGTTTGATTTCAACAGTTTGTAAGTGTGAGTAGCACTGAAAATAATTTCACAGCTATATCATATGTATCACCTAATAACAATTAAACACCTTTTTATTCTTATATCTACATTGCTTATTATTGTTTCCTAGCAGTTTTTTGCTGTAAAATTACCAAAATATGTGAAATTCAAATAGCTAAATTTTGCAAAAAGCTTTATTTCTGTTAGCAGGTGAACGCTGAATAATCTGCAAGATGTAACATACCTGGTTATCTTTAGGCTGGTATTGTGAGCTTAATTCTTAAATATTAATCAACACTGACTACAGAGAGTACTAACATTGACTACAAAACCAAAGCAAACTGGACCAGAATCTGATTTTGCAATTTCATCTAAGCCTATGATAGTTTGTTTGTCTCATATTTCCTTTTACATCTTGCTAGTCACTAACATATACATATCCAAATTTTGCTTTAATTTAGCTCGCATGTCTACACATATATAATTTTTTATGCTCTTAAAAGTGTGCTGATAGTGAAGCAGCTCTTTTAAAATTTAATTATTGAATTACTTTCAGGTCCTGTAAGATTTTGTATTAGAGTGTAAAGATTCTGATAACTATGAAACTAAGATTCCACCACCTCACTGCATTTTAGGACATTTCTTAAGGTCTTGCAAACTTTGGTTTTCCTTCTTCCCTTTTTCATTTTGACAGGCTAGTTTCAGGCTCCATCCCACTTCTCCATCTGTATTTCTGCACTTCGTTCTCTCTGCCTTCTCTGTTCCTCCATATTTTAGGTTGTTTTGGTTTTTGGGGGGGTTTTATGGTTTGTTTTTTGTTTTGGTTTGGTTTAGTTTTTCTTTTTTTTTTTGCTTCGCCTGTCTTACAGCTCAGGAAGAGGCTGTATAAGTGCCCGTGTCTCCGGAGCAAGCCGTGCTCCAGCAGAGCTGTGCTGCCATTCCCTCCTCAGGTCGATGTCTGGAACAGCGGCCGCTCCCGCTGCCCGGGAGCCGCGGGGGGATGGCAGGAGCCGGGCTTAGCAGCCCGCTCTGGCTCTTCCCCGCTGTGCCGAGCGCTCCCTCCCAGTCCCCGTTCCCCGGGCAGGAGCCGGGAGCGGGGCTTCCCGGCGGGACACGGAGCGGAGCCCTGGGCTGCAGACGGGATGGGAACGGGCATGGAGACGGGGATAGGGATGAGGATGCCGACGAGGAAGGGGACAGTGATTTGGCCTGGGATGGAGATGGGGATGGGTGCGGTGAAAGGAACGCTGATAGGAACGGGGTCGGTGATGGCAATGGGGACGGGGATAGGGATCGGAAAGGGGATGGGGATGGTAATGGTGACAGTGGTGGGGACGGGGATATGGACGGGGATGGGGACAGTGGTGGGGACCGAGATATGGACAGGGATGATGACTGTGGTGGGGACGGGGATATGGACGGGGATGGGGACTGTGGTGGGGACGGGGATATGGACAGGGATGATGACTGTGGTGGGGACGGGGATATGGACAGGGAT